TAAAAATAATCCACAGAGCTTCTCTTACAAAACACTATTGATTTTCACGTCAGTTTCCTAGACGTTTAGATGTTTTTCAGTAGTTTGTGTGAGGGCTGAAAATTAGATGCTTCAGTGTAGGTTAGGAATCTTGATATTCTTCCTGGTACATGTTCCTCATTTTCTTGTGTGCTGCGTCTAAATATAACTGTTATGATGTTTGCAGGTGAGGAATTTGATATTAATGGGCTTATCTGTGGAATTTGAAAGGAGTTGGGGGTTTGGATTGTGTTCGTTTTATTCTCACTGTTGCATCAGCTTCATACAGCCACTTGAAATAAACTGTAGAGATTGTGGGGTAGGTTTGTGGTTAAAGGAATCAGGTGTCACCCTGAAGTCCTGGGTAGGGTTTTGTCAAGGGTACAACATGTGAGTTTGAATTTTTTGTGCCACTGTCTTGACATTGGCAGAATTTTGGAGAAAATGATCAAGGATGTCCATGCAGAGTTACGAAGCAAAAACAGTGACATTTTAAAAAGTCTTCTTAGATAGCTTGAACATGCAACGCTACAGATAAGATACACCATGAGAAACCTGGCTTGAATGCAATTCCTTATTCCCATCCTTGCGTGTTGAATATTAACAAGATTTACATAAAGATAGCGCAGCATTTTATGTCTGTGCCAAACACTTGCCCAATCTTGCTTGTTCTTTTGAATCATCTCAGTAGATTTTTAATCATGAACAGTAGTAGCAAACTACAGAAGACAAAAACACTTTGTGACTAAGGCTTTGGATGGATGGCTAATCAGAAGCTACTATTATGTACATAGCTAATGAACTCACCATTTGGTTATGGCTTGTCAAGATAAATGGAAATAGTCTAAATATTTAACAGCACATTCCTTCTAGAAACACGAAATATCACCCAAAATACCAAAATCTTATCTTGATGCTAAAAGGTATATTCTCAATGTGAGTCAGGGCTAATGATGTTTGCCTCAATTGCAAGTAATACTGTGCACAGTAATTGGCCCATCTCCAGTCCTGAACAAGTCTCAGTCCATTATCTGTCTCTCCGCAGCGACCTGAGCATGTAGACTGTTGTTCAGCTTGATTATATAGACCCACACCCTGGGAACTTGAGTGTTATTTGAAACTTGGCTAGCTGCCAGTTGACCTTTGCCCTATCCCAGTGATAACGCAGGGTGGAGATTCTGAAGGTGTCTCTAATGAAGCTGCAGCAGAAGTAGAATGGGGGACAGGGTTGTATCCTGTAAACAGGTCGCTTCCCCTCAGGGTGTTTACCACCAAGGGAAGTGACAATTGTGACTCAAAGCTTGGCTCTTTGCCAGCCGAGCAGGTTTTGAGTTTGCTGTGACCCACACTGGCAAATCTATCATGGTGAAGTCCACAGTCCGTGGATGGATTTCGAAAGTCAGCGATTGACATCTTTATGACCCAACTTGTTTGGTGACTGGGTAATGATGCTTGTACAGAGATTGCCTGGCTGTGTTCATATGTAGTATGGTTTGAGGTAAATAGGTCCTGTTGGATCAAATACAGTAACGTGTAAATAAATACTTGAACGTTTGGTTAATAAATCAGTGTTGTGTGAATATGTTACGCTTTGAAGTTATAATTTGATGGTGTTTCTGTTTGATGAACACATGATAAAAGCCATATTTGAGTAATTAATTAGAATAATAGGTTGAAAAGGAACAGTTTGGCAATTGGAAGATGAGGCAGTTGATTTGAGATAATTGGTAGAGTTTTTATAAAGAATCCAAAGTCATCTGCTTTGACTAAAAGTCTTTCCTTCCACACATGTTTTATTATTTAGAAACTCATTACCCTCTCATGCTCAAAATGCACTGGAGGAGCGACTGGTGCAAAACACCTTGAGTAAACTGAGCAAGCCTAAATCAGACAAAGCAAGATATATTCATCATTCCACAGCCAAAGGGTAGAGGTGTGATGTAAACATGTTTATGTTACTGGTATTCACCAGCAAGTGCCACAGATACGCAAGTGCACTGGTACCATCTCGGAGTACTATCTAGATAGGAATTACTAGCAGGTGTGCACCTAGGTGGGGTTCGCTGTTCCTGCGGAGTCAAGCCTGTTGGCTGGTTTGTGTTGTTGGGCTGAACAGCTAGCTTGGCTGGTAGCGAGGCAGTGATATCACACGTGAATCCAAGCTGTACTGACGGATAGGGTTATAGCTGATAGGAGAGAGGTCTGGAAGGCTGAACCAATTGCACCATGGTTTGATCACATGATCGTGCCCTGCATTGGTGTTGAATACGTGTTGTGTTATTATCAGTGATTATGTTAATGGCTAGACAGGGTACACAGCAGATTTCTTTGAATTTATTAAACAATAATATGCTACTGAAAAGAAGTTGTGATCAGCCGATTATTTCACATTGTAGCATTTTAGATGGCTTGTTATATGAAGGAAGAGTAGTTCTTAACTTCTCTTGATTAGTGTACACAAAAAGTGTATACAGTGAAGGGAGGAAGATGGTTTTTATGGAGAAATGGTTAAGTCTGCATTTTCAAAAATGTTCTGGAAAAGGATGTTTTTACAAGATCAGCATATACATATTATACAAAGTATACTGAAGGTGTTACATCAGGCATACCAATGTGAAGAAGTAGATAGAAATGGGTTATTAGTTTACGCTGTAACAGGCAGTTCCAACACAAAACTACTTGCCACGAGACAATTAAGCCAACAGGAAACGAATGTCGACACACTTTCAACTATTTAAAGGCATGAATATTTTGTAATGAACAGCAAATAGTGGACAAACTTCATGTGTTGTAGCTATTTTGTGTGTGCAGATTTGACAAATAGCACCATATCATTTCCTTCTATTCAAACATTTTGAATGTGTTTTTAGTTGTGAGCACACAGAAGGTAAGTCAGTTCATGGCAAAAAAACATGGCAGCATATGGTACAAGTCAAATTGCAGAGGGATTTGCAACAGACATAATTTGTGTTCCTGATGCATCAAATTTGGAAATGTCCTCCACTTTCGAGTTCACAGAAAGTGCATGCTTGAATAAATGCATAAATTCCTGTATGTCCTGTCTGTCTCAAGGCAGATATGTTTCCATGGTGATTGAATTTGTTACATGTCCATTTGCAACTCAATATAGATGCCGAGTTCGTGGTACTAGAGAGATGACTGTCCTACATTACAGTGTCAGGTGTTGTTCAACACTGATGATAAATGCTCTCAAGTTGTGTTATCAGTTTCCAATGACAGCTTCATGCTCTGATAGTTAGGTCATCTCAAGCTGCAGCTGTTGGTATCTTGCCTCCTGTCAAGGACATATAAGATGAAGTCACACAGCGCACGCACAGCTGATGAACCAACAGTCAGACCCATATTTCAATATGGGCATGTTAGGATCAATTGCACAGATGTTTGCTGGGCATAAGACCTTGTACCCAAGTGTCAGCTTGTTTGCAAGTCATATTTAATTTATGTGTGGCAATCAATAATGAAGGGTCTGAAATATCACCTGATATCTTTGGTCAATTTTCTATTACACAGAGTTTGGAGACTGACAGTAACACATTACTTTGCGGGTTTTTTTTACACCATGCTTTCGAAGTGATTAAAATGTTCATAATGTTTACTCATACTGCATTTGTGGGAATGAATTTGCATTTCAAAATGTTTGAAAACTATTCTTCTGAATTCAGTTTGTGTTTTTCAAACTGTAACTTTGGCACTGAGACTGGAATTGGCAACAATTATTCTTATAAGAGTGTGAGCAAGTACAAACTTTGAATTTGGAAGGTAAAATACATCAGCTCTAAGATTTATCTATTTCTTTACAGGATGTTTCTGAGTTTGGGGTCATGTGTATATTCTATTGTTACTATTTCACCTTGTTATGCAAGCAAGGATGATTTTGTCATTGTGCGCAAGTGTTTCAGTTAATATGTTTTTGGAGGATTCAAGTTTGGAATAAATGCCCAGTCTCCATTTAATCTGATAAATAACATGAGAATATTTTTCACAGCCAGCTTATCTGTAAAGACCCTACGTTACACTCCTAAGCACATAATACAGGAACTTGGAACTGGCCAGTCTCTCTATCTCTCTCATTGTTTCATATTGCCTCTGTTCCAGACTCTTGTAGACATAGTGTGTCTGGTGGCTCATCACAAGGGACACCCAATCCAATACATCCACAGAAACATGGAAATCATGAGATTACTATCTGCCTATTTGAACCTTTCATAACCAAATGTAATACCCTGAGTTCCCAACATGGCAGTGTTTGGGTATACATTACTAACCTTATTCAGTAGCGCACTGAAAAACATGAAACCCAGTACCACCCACTGGACACATTAGGGCCTGTTGACATTCAACATGTTCTGAAATTGATATTACTGTCTGAATGCTTGTCGCACTGTTATGGGAGGATGCTGAAGTACAGGATCAATAGATTTGTCCTAAAACTAGAGGAAATCAATGGAAGTATGTTGGTAATAGTTGGATAAAATGTTCATGGCTTGTTCATGGTAACCCATTTTGCTATTAAGGATTTAGGCCAGAAACACGTATTCTGTTAAGACCTATCAGTTTATATCCCTTGCAGGGGTTGTGGGAGAATTTTAAACAGGCTTTTTTCTAAAGTGAAGAATTTGTTTTCAGGAACATTATTTATAACAAACAATCCAAGCATACCACTTTCCATTAAATTCAAATGGTCTGCCCCTAAGATAGATCTTTTTGTTTGTACTTTAACATGAAAGTGTTTGAAAGCATAAAATTATGTTGTCTTGTTTTCCATCCAGTTTGATCAAACGTGTCTTTTCATGTTCTTCATCTGATTTTCAGGAATGAAGCAAATAATTTTTAAAAAAGTCTATCTTTGAATATTTTAATGTCTATCACAACTCTTTTGAATTTCAGAGAAATATATTGTTTAAAGCAGATAGTTTCTTGTCCTGTCCCTTTGTTGACCTTGACCTTTATTCCTATTTCAGATATGGTAAGATCCAGAGTGTAAAACTCCACCTGAACAAGGAGAGTGATGGAGGCCCAGCGGCCACCGTGGCGTTTATGGACATCAAGTCGGCGTCCAAGGCCCACGGAGCAGAGAACTTACTTGAGAACTGTTCCCTGAGAACGGAATACTGTGAGGGATCTACAACAGGAAGCATTGTCACACGGACTCATGAACCCGACCGCGGAACATTTCATGTACCAACTGGAAGTGCTGCCCGTGGAGCAGGATCATTCCCTTGGCCAAAGGGGTAAGTTGACATTTCTGCCTGCCGATGTTGGTTGATGGTGGTGTTTCTATCGTGGGGATGGCGTCAATCTGTCGTCCAGCTCCCGGTGGGAGAAATCCGGGTGAATGGTCCACTCGTCTGACATGTACTGTAGTAGTCTATCTCTTTCTGCCAAACATCCAACACCTCACTAAACCAATTGCCATATGTAGAACAATGACTTAGTACAAGACTTACCCCTTGCGTATCTTCTGCAGTGTTCACAGAAACCATTAACAGTCGTTCACATTGTACTAGACACTGTAGCTGCACGCCATTTTGGATTGTCACGTGACCACAGTAGATGCCATTGACACCTGCATCTATGCAACTGGGTGATCACACAGTTGTAGAAATTAAACCATACAACTATGAGCTGATTTCCAGGTGCAACAAAATTGAGACAGTTTTCTAGACTTTGAGTTCAATTCAGCATTTAGTTACTTTTCCGTTGCTGGACAGGGAAACAACCCTGGCCATCTTTGGAGCATTGCCCTTCAACTTGGACTATTTATACAAACTGCCATTTTGGATTTTGTTTTGGAACACTACACCTACATAAGCCTTTGCCTTGGTCGGTTTTGTTTTGTGCTGTGCGTGTAAAGTAAAACTTCAATTGTGTGGTTTAGTTGCTATTTCACATCATGTGACAAGCTTTTATTTTGCTCCCCTCTTATGTGGAACATTGTACTCTTTTGGATATTCTATTGGAGTACCTCGAGTGTACTTGCCCGTCGTGGATTTTTGTTTTAGTCCCTGCTCTCAATTGGAGTTGCTACCCTGGAGTATACAGCTCACTGGATCATTACGATGGATATATCACCTTCTCTAAGATTATCACTCTTTACTGTCTTTACACACTTTCAGAAATACCATGCAGTTAACTGTTGTGTTTGGAGTATTGATATTTGCGTGCGCGGTTGTTGAAACTGTACTTTTTTCTCGCTCTTTTATTTTGGATTTACACATTTGACGTTGTTTAGCAGCGGAAAACGGATATTTACCCATCGCTTGGATTTGTTTACCTGGAGTACACTATTAAAGATCTCATCATGGATTTTACATATCTCATGGATTACTATGCAGTCAAGAGTTGCACTTATGCACACATGGATGGACAGGCCAACGGACATACTAGCAGACGTGGATTACTTGGAGTACTTGTCTACAGACATCGTGTTTGCCCGAAGTAGCCTGGTGAAAGCCAGGCATGCTTGGTAGGCATGGAAAGCCCACTGATGGAGTACTTGCTGTGGATACCACCCCTTGGATTAAATACCCAAATGGATTGTACTGCCTGTGTGTTCTTTGATGGATACTATGTATGTGATGCCAATGGATACCTGATGACCATGCTCAAGACTGGATATGGTTGCCGCCATTTTGTCCACAGATTTGACCTGACATCAAGCTGTAGCCCAAGTCAGCAACTGGTTGAGAGACGTCTGCTTCCTTTTCTGGCAACTGTTGTCTGATGGTTGCCGTTTGCCAGTGCTTCAACCACAGACCAAGAACAACACAGATCACCATCAAGAAGGAAAAAGTGCTTTTGGTTTTGCAATTTTGTTCAATTTTATGTTTATTTGAAGCTTGAGGCAATGTGAATTAAGAACTGAAATGTTTACAAAACTAGCAGAAGAGCCATGACATTTACATTGCAGATCAAATATTGGTTTTTGACTGAAGACTTAAATTAGGCCCAGAAGAACAGATAATATTTCAGCTTGTGTCACTGTCAGCTTATAAGACAAATTGCATCATTTTGAAGAAAATTTGGATGAGAGGCTAAGTGGAGAAATTGTCTTGATTAGTGAATAGTTCCATTTCAAAGTAAGATACTTTCAGTCTATTGGGAAATGTAATTGTCAAAAGAGAATTAATGAACCCTTTTCAGAAATTTTGAAAGATTGTAATGGAGGTAAATAATATCAAAAAGGGAAAAATACATGTGAGGGATAGAAAAATGTCTCATTGTATTGGGCTTCACGGAGGAGTTCAAATATTAAGTCATGTTTCTGAAGTATCCACCATTGCAAGTGCCTCTTTGACATGTCAGGCCTGTTGGCTTGTTGCTTAGCCACAAAGAGGTTCCTGGGCTGACACTCGAACAGCCAACCTTTAGATCTTAATGGATTGCTGTGTGGAGATGACTAGCTTGAATAATTTCAGATGTGCTTAGCAACCATTTTGAAAATGCAGCTTTGTTTGTTTGAGTTATTTATGCAAGTTTGCTACGTGCCTGTCCTTGTGCTATGACATTTAGGAAATGATGCGCCTTGCCCAGGATTCCTCTGGGTTCTCCTGGACTTTGGCCAAGAATTTTGAATACCAAGCACAAAATGTGTTGGAAATAACCACAAGTGCTTTCCCTGGCTTTGCTCTACTAACAGGAAATGCTCTATGTTTGGCCTTGTTCTCCTCTGTGAAGTGAGTTTTTGTTTCTTTTCTGTAATCAGAATTGACTTCAAGGTGTTAATGTCAAGGCTTTAAGGATGTGGGGTTTTTTTTCACACTTTGTTATTTGTTGAATTTATTGTTACTTTTTTCCAGGGCATTTTATGCACAATTTACAAATGTTTGGATTATTTATATGTTTGAGATTTTTTGAAATAAACATTTTCAAATATGAATTGACAAAGATTTTGTTGTTTGAGCTGTGGAAATGGAGGGATGGTGGCAGCAAGGAGATGGTGACCTTGCTGAAGTGTCAAGGTCATTTTTGTTGGTACACGCAGACAGGAATCACTGACACAGCTGTATTTATGTCACATGAATAGTTCACATTCACACACAAACAATACACACAAGGAAGTTTTCCTGCCCATGGGGTGGGCAAGGCTCAAGTGTTATTTGTTACTGGTTAGAAATAAATAAACTTACAAAAGTATAAATACAGTTAGGGGTGAAACGGTATACTGCGGTATTAGTAGAACTGCTGTATTATTCCGTAATGCAATACAAAGATTCGGTATTTGGGTTTTTGTACCATCATTTCTGTCTAGTCATAAAATGACAATTTTATTAAATCAATATAACAAAGATTATGGTTTTGTTTTTTTCATGTTATTAAACAGTGCATGGTTTGGCTCTTGTCGATTTTCTGCATTATGATAATATTTCATATACTGAACTGAAACGGACCGAAATGAAGGCCTTGTACAGCAATATGTACTGTACCATGGTAAGAGCGTACCATTTCACCCCTAAACACAGTACACAAGGACTGAAATGTATGATGAAGTAGCTTGTTCAAATTAGGCCAGATTGACTTTTGCGACATATATGTGTCCTGACTAAAAATGCCATATTGTCTGCATATTTGCAACAGACAATATTACACAGCCACGCTCCCCTTACTTTGGCAAAAAAAAGTTATAATACATGAAACGCACAACCTTCTTTATATACCTGGGAAGCAACACTGCATTGACTTATGATATCCTTACATCCCTTACAGACATCTGCTTGTATGGTTGGTGAGTTAGGTTTGCTAATATTTAAGTTTTAGCCTACTTTCCTCCCAACTTGATGTTATACAGTCACTTGTTTCAACATTGAACTCTCCCAGAAGATAAGCAAGGTGAAGGTGTTTGCTCAAAAGCCTGTCTAGTCTGCTCAGTTGAAAAGAATGCTGCATTACAATACAACACTTCACGTTGTGTGCGCATGATAGCTCTGTAGGATGATAAGATGTCTTCTGCGTTCAGTGTACTATAACATGTTCATGGAAGATCTATTTCTTAGAAATTGGGAAACTTCCTTGTTGAGGAAAACATTTTTTGGGATTGTCAGCTCTTTATCTCGGGCAATGTTGTCAATTTCTGTTGAACAGAAGGATACTGTTCAGATCAGGTTTTGATACTGAAATGTGAAATGAAAGCCTGAAAGGATGCAGAAACACGATGTGTCCTGTTCCAGATTCTTCACAGGAAATATACAGTTCATGTTATTAACGTAGTATTTTAGTACTATACGCCCAATTGATAGCTTACTTGGCAGGTCCCACATATTTTCTTCAGTTAATTAAATTAAAAGTTGTAAGTCAAGCTGAAACCCTGCCTAATGTTAAAGACTGAATTTTCAATATAATTTTGCGTGAGAATTGTCTACTACGTGGTGGATGTGATGATACCATATTCATATCTTGCACATTTCAAAATTTAAAAACCAATACACAACCAGCACCTGTCTTATTCAACTGATTACTTTTTCCCAAATGTTTGTTTTCAGGTTAAAATGGGGTCAAAAATTACTTTGTATGATAATGCCAAAATGCTGGTAGTGTCAGTTATTCTATTCAGCCATTTAAGTTGAATGTTAAGGAAATGACATAAATTGATGCAGAATGAAGCTAAATCTGCAGTTAAGTCTATATTTGAACGGGTTCACCATGTCAGCATTTTTTATAATCATTATTACGATAATTCTTAATCCTTTTCCTCAGTCAGATGTACACAGGTTACCAAGTACAAAAAGAAGGCTTACAAAATTGAAAAGAATGGTTTAAATTAATTTGTCATGAAAAGCTTTGCTCGTTTTTGCTTTATGTTGCCGGTGAAAATGCATTAAGTGAATGTTCGTAATAGGCTAGATGATTTATTGTGAAGGCTATAAACCTCATGAATTTTAATTTGTCAAAAAAAGTGTCATTCAAGTCCGCATGTTGCTCTTTTATGGAGTACAAGCAGCTTTCAAATTGATTGTGTGACAGGCTGTGAATACGAGACTGCAGGTGTGGTTAGTTATGATGATAATGTGACTCTATTGACTGCATGACTGTGCAGATTAATTATTTACCACGTGAAGTATAGACTTGGCTTTGTGCCAAAGCTGGCATGATTACACAATTGCAGGACTTATCCAGCCTATGATGTAACAAGTGTTACCTCACATCTTTGTTGATGCAGAAACTTTCACAGTTGATTCCCACAGGGTAGAAAACTGCTTTGTCAGGCCGTAATCACACGTAGAAGTCTGTTCAG